TGCCCCTCATAGACAACTTATGAAATAGCTTGAGATTAAGAAAAACAACAATTCACGAAAGATAATACTTTGTCTCTGTAGTGGGTGAGTAATGTGATGATGATGCCGGATCCAGTGTATTTTTCCATGCAGAAAACGAGGGCAAAATTTTTAGAGATCTAGATTCTTCTTGTAAAAGTGTCCAAATGCTAAATGCTCAAGTATGGACAACTAACCACATGCACCAATTAAAATAAATATAAACACTTTTGTATGACACATGGCAAAGAGTGCAATTTGCAAAGTTTGGCACTAGGTGTTAATTTCAGAAAAACTGTATTCAAATGTGTATGGATTGCCTGGCAACTACATTATCAATGAACTCATCAAACTCTAATCAGTATATATTAATTCAAAAGTAACCTAAGTCAGAGATTCTTAAATAAGAAGCAAATATTGGAGGGCTTCATAAAACACAGATTCTTGAGTCCCAACCCCCAGTCTCCAGGATGGAGCCTGAGAATTTGTAATTCAGACAAACTCCAGGATGATGCTGATGCTACTGGTTTGAAAAGCATGCTTTGAGAATCATGAATAGAAATTTGCTCTTGCTTTCAAGGAGACACCAATATTCCAGGGTCAATTCTTCCATTAATCTATCTATCTATCCATTCATTTATTTATTTAGTTTCCAAAACTATCATATTCCAGATACTATAACAGGGAAAGAAGAAAAGTATTGTGTTTGCCTTGCTGATTTATAAATCATTATTGATTTAGGGCAGGCTTAACGTCAGTAACTCAAATTTTACCTATGAAATTCAGAGATTCTAAATGATTTGGCTAAGGGCTTATCAATACTGGGTAACAAATCAGCTTCAGAAAACAACTTATGACTTCCAAGTCATGTAAGCTTAACACATAAAATAATAGAGATGGAAGAGAGATTAAGAAAGACTTACAGGGTCACCTGTGTGGCTCAGTCAGTTAAGTGCCTGACTTCGGCTTAGGTCATGATCTCATGGCTCCTGAGTTCCAGCCCCACATCAGGCTCTCTGTTGTCAGCATGGAGCCGGCTTTGGATCCTCTGTCTCCCTCTCTCTCTCTGCTGCCCCCAAAATAAAAATAAACATTAATTTAAAAACAAGACTTACAGAAAAGATTCACAGTGAATGTATTCCTTTTTCTTTGAAATTGGTCCTTTGTGTACATCAACCAGTCTAAACGGAAGTAATTAAGAAGTTTAGATTCTTTCAATGTCATTCTCCAGTAAAATAAATAAATAAGCAAATAAATAAACAAATGAATGAATGAATAAATAAATAAATAAATAAATAAATAAATAAATAAATAAATTCTATGAGGTGTTATAGAAATTAGAAAATTAGTTTATGGCAGGTGAGAAAAAAAAATTTGAGAGGAACTTAACATTTTAAAATATTTGCTTTTTGCAGGGTGCCTGGGTGGATCAGTCAGTTAAGCATCTGATTCTTGATTTCAGCTCAGGTCATGACCTCAAAGTCGTGAGATCAAGTCTGGTGTCGGTTCTGGGTTGGGTTCTGTAATGGGCCTAGAGCTTGCTTAGTATTCTCTCTCTCCCTCTCCCTCTGTGCCCTGCTGCTTGCATTTTCTCTCTTTCTCTTAAAAGTGATAATAAAATAATAAATAAAATATTTGCTTTTTTCTGTTTATAAAAATAAAGAGGCATATTGTAAAATTATTCTAGAAGATATAAGAAATATGAATTTAAATTTGTTCTAAATTTCATGTACAGAAACAACTATTAATATTTGTGTATTTAAAGAACATTCTAAAGTTTTGCACATTTTACCCCCAAGATAAAATTATATTATATATAACAGTTTTATGCTGAATTTCACTATCAAGTAAAATTATTTCTTCAGAAAAATTTTTAGAAGCAGAATTGCTAATCAGAAGTATGTAATTGTAAAGTCTCTATCAGTTTAAATTCTCATCAACAGAATACCAATGAACTTTTTATTCATTCTAGTGACTTGGAAAAACTTTATGGACTTTATAATCTTACATTCAAAAATGGTCAGTTATCTCATTGTTTTAATTGACATTTTAAAAATTATATCAGAGCTTGACTTTTTTATACTATCTCGATTTAATGTTGCTTTTAATGGGGTGGGTAAACTATTATTAATCTTTTCCTATTTTTCTATTAAAATATTTATGTTCTTGTCATTTTAAAACTCTGTATATGTTAAGGACAGTAACCATTTTTCTTCCATAAATAGAACAAATATTTCCCAAAGTTGTCATTTTTTGTGGCATGCAATTTGCCTTTGCATAATAGCTTGGCATTTATTAATAAATTTTAGTTTTTTTATTATCTTATAAGAAGATAAGTTCCTTGAAGACAGAGAATGTGTCTTATGCTTTTGAAAATAGCAGCTACGTGGATGGAACTGGAGGGTATTATGCTAAGTGAAATTAGTCAGAGAAAGACAAAAATCATATGACTTCACTCCTATGAGGACTTTAAGAGACAAAACAGATGAACATAAGGGAAGGGAAACAAAAATAATATAAAAACAGGGAGGGAGACAAAACAGAAGACACTCATAAATATGGAGAACAAACTGAGGGTTGCTGGAGGGGTTGTGGGAGGGGGGATGGGCTATATGGGTAAGGGACATTAAGGAATCTACTCCTGAAATCATTGTTTCACTATATGCTGACTAATTTGGATGTAAATTTTAAAAAATAAAAAATAAAATTAAAAAAATAACATATGCAAGGCAAATACAAAGAAATGCTGAATACATACTTTCTTTTTATATTTGCATTGGTATGGAAAAGGGTCTCTAAATTTTCACCACAGTCTTATAATGACCACAGTGCATGGTATATCTTACTGCATGTTTATAAAAATAGTAGCCTCAGATTATGAACCTAGTAATATTGAATAAATGTTCTAATTTTTTTAAAGAGCAAGTTCAAAAATGGAAAGTGGAAGAAATGTTGAAACTGGAAATGATATTTTTGTGATATTTAACTCAAGGCAAAAGAGATGACAGTTTTTCTCACATTATGATGTTTTTCTAGTTCCCTTCTACACTTTGAAGACATTTGTTTTTATTTTCCTTATATGAGTGTGCAATTTACTATCCTAATATCTATCTATGCTCTCCAAATGTCATTGTTTTTATACCAGTGGTTTCTGCATGCATATTTTTCTCAGTTACACTACTTAGGAATGTGTGAGTCCAAAGGAGAAGCCAATCCTTTTAGCAACTTTTGCTTCCCTACAAATTCTTGAGCAAAGGGCCATCTCTCTCTTTCTGTGATAGAAATAATGCTAAGAGTCATTTCCTTGAAATTCCTTGTGTCATCATAGCTCATCTACCTAAGAAGGCAGGGATTAGGGTGGAGATGAATCTACTTCCCTCTGTGAAGGCAGGTTACACGGACATATGTCACCAAAATGCTTTCTCCTCATTTCCTTCTTCCCTCATCTGAATATTGACATCCCTGTATGCCTCAGTCATCTTTAATGAGGAAGAAGATGACAGTAATGAAAAGTCATTATTGGGTAAAGAAATATCCACAAGAAATATGGGGTGCTTGGGTAGCTCAGTTGGTTAAGCACAGGGATCTTGATCTCAGCTCAGGTCATGTCGTGAGATCAAGTCCTGCATGAGAGTCCATGTTGAGCATGGAACCTGCTTAAGATTCTCTCTCTCTCTTCCCCTCTTCCCTGCACGTGCTGTCTCAAAATAAAAAACGTTAAAAAATTAAAAAAAAAATAAAGAAATGTCTACAAGAAACAAAAATTATTGACATTGAAAACTAAATGAAAATATCCAAAAGTGGGCTGGCAGAATCTGGACCTTCTTTCTTTAGATGTCTTCAAAAGCAAGAGTTCACTTGTTTAACTCTAGTTCAAACTCCTTCAATGGCAAAACCTAGAGCTTATTCCTCTTCATAAATGAATTGTCTTTCAAGTACACCACGTTGTGCACTGTAATATGAATGACCTGGAATTGTAGAGTGCACAACATAAAGAACTATATTTGCTGGTGCTATAGACTAGCACCTTGACCCTTTGAATGCACTTGCTAAATGTTTTGATGAATGAAAGCCTTTTAGATTTATGTTAATAACCATAGTTACATGATATATTAATAGGAGTTTTTAGTCTTAGATATAAGAAGTAGATTAATTTTATTCAGAAAATTGTGTTTGGTAAACACTAGCATGTAATTAACCTCACACTTATTTTACCTCTAATCATTAATTTGGCCCAAAGTCCAAGTAATCATCCTTCAATGAGACCATAGTACAGCAATGAGATCATGAACTTCAGTATGTGGAAGATGAACGAGTTCAAATTCTTCCACTTACGTGTTGCTTGTGGGGTACACTCCACTGAAACGAAAGTGAGCACAAAAGTAAATTCTCATATATAACTGCCACCAATCAAATATATTCTCTTCTTCCTCAAGAAAGGGAAGTTTGTTTAATTAAGCAAGACAAGGTTGGGGCTGTCTTTTTCAATGTCTTTTTCATTGTTAGTAAAAGTGATTTTACAGAACAATGGAAAGTGAATGTCTCAGCACCAAAGGTTATAATCTTGGGTGCTCCAGGAGTGTTTAGTTTCTTAGTTGCCAAAGAGAAAAGCCGTGTTTGATAACCATGGTTTTTGTACATGATCCTGGCTTTCCCTTGCTCCTGAGAAGGAAATAAAACCTACTACATGATTTCCAGTCTCTTTCCCATCTAGCCGCACTCCACCCCACCCAACTTCAACACACACACACACACACACACACTCACGCACTCCTCTCTAGGAAGAAATGGAAGACAAGAGAGCTGCTTTCCTGGGAACCAGTGCAAGGCGCATACAGTCTGACTCACAAAAATACAAAGTGGGTAATCCCACTCTTGGGATTAACATCATAATGCTAAGGTCTTGAGTTGACGACGTTCCCTCCTCTTACTCCAAGTGGGGGAGAGAAGCCAGTGGAAACACAGGTTGGCTCTTTACTCCTTCAGGCCTGGGAAAGGTGAGCAGCTGCTTCCACTGTCCATACTTCTGTCTGTGGTTTCCATTTCCTGAAAAAAGAAACAAAAGTTCTCTTAAGGAAATGAGCCTTTGGCCTGAGACCTTACAGCTGTCTCAGCAAAACATTGAAATGATATTTTCTGTTTACATGTAATTTGCATTTCAATATCTCAACCTTTGCCCATCATTTCTCCTTCTCTAATCTCTACAGTGCTGGAGACTCCCGCCCTGTATCAGAACCTTGTTCACCCTCAGCCTGAGAAACTGTGTGGTTGGGCAAGAGTCCCTGTTGAATACATCACTTGGTATAAGGTTTTTTAAAAAATGAATATTTAGGGGCGCCTGGGTGGCGCAGTCGGTTAAGCGTCCGACTTCAGCCAGGTCACGATCTCACGGTCTGTGAGTTCGAGCCCCGCGTCGGGCTCTGGGCTGATGGCTCAGAGCCTGGAGCCTGTTTCCGATTCTGTGTCTCCCTCTCTCTCTGCCCCTCCCCCATTCATGCTCTGTCTCTCTCTGTCCCAAAAATAAATAAACATTGAAAAAAAAAAATTAAAAAAAAAAATGAATATTTGGTAATGCCTATTTTAGATTGAGAAGTAGTTCTTTGGATATATGTCAACAACTTTGTCAAAAATCCTATATAACCAATTTTTAAAAATATCGTTAGAAATTATAATTTCATAGCTGAATAAGTTTTTAGAAAAGTTTTCTGCTCCCTCTTAACCACTTACCTTGTAGATTTTTATTCAACTTGCTCTTGCAAATAATTGCTATCATTTACTGCTTTTGAAGAAGTTGTATTGTTAATACTTTTAGAAGTCTTGACTTTCATAACTAGATGAGGTAAACATATGAAAGAACAACTAGTCTAAGATGTTTGCTTTATGACTTTGAAATGCAAAACAAATCGTTGCTTTTATTTTACCTTCATGAAATAAAAAATATATATATGTATATATATTACAGGATATAATAATGACATTTTCATTTCACTTTTGATAAAATTAAAGTGATCTTATATGTTGTAGTTATTGAACTTTCCAAAGTTCAGATTAGCTTGAGATCTGGGAGACCCTTTTGGGTTTGTATATATCTAAAGAAATAAAGAGCTTACTGTCATGTTATCTGGATATACAGTATTTTAATTGACATAGAAAGTTGAATATACACCCTATAAATATCTGAATGTACTCAGAAAATAAAGACATTCCATCAAGAAGTAAATATGGAATGGTGATTCAAATTTCGGTAAATATAGGTGGCTCGTGTATTTGCTATTCTTGGTATCTTTTTTTTTTTTTTTTCAACATATATTTATTTTTGGGACAGAGAGAGACAGAGCATGAACGGGGGAGGGGCAGAGAGAGAGGGAGACACAGAATCGGAAACAGGCTCCAGGCTCTGAGCCATCAGCCCAGAGCCCGACGTGGGGCTCGAACTCCCGGACCGCGAGATCGTGACCTGGCTGAAGTCGGACGCTTAACCAACTGCGCCACCCAGGCGCCCCTTGGTATCGTTTTTAACTTTTCCTGAAGAGCTGTAACTCTCTGGGACAGCCAGACTACACCAAAAATCTGTGAAGGGGAGAAGTATAAAAAGTGTAGATTGGTGAATTACAACTTAAACCCTCACCTTATGCACATCATCTGTGTGTCCTTTGTCCAGGATGTAATTACCTCTGTTTTGTTGTATCATGACTTTAGTTTTAAATCCCCTTCACTATCTGGTCTGCACCATTTTCAGCCAATCATGTTAGAGATTTAGGGCTGAAAGTCAGAACTGAAGATACTTTCTAACCTAGTCTCTGCCCCTTTCTATCAGGAGAGCCTGGAAGCATTTTTAATTTTTCCAGTGCCAATTTTATAATTTATGAAGCACTAACTTTGGTTAGGATGAGGTAGGGTTGTGTAGCAAAGCAGAATTGACTAGATTCAAATACCAGTTCTATTGGACATTAGGGAAGCTACATACTATCTTTGTATTTCAGTCATGTCTTATGTAAAAAGGGGATAATACTGAGCTAAATTCATAAAGACGATGTGCAAATTTCAAAAAGCATTCGCGAAACACTTAGTACCATGCTCCAGTGGTAGTCAGCACTAATGCAAGTATGAACTTATTATTTCTCCTGTGTTCACTTCCTAATTCAATAGCAGGATAGGCTGGAAAAATGAATATGGCCTCTGAGCAGTGCCTAGACAGAAATGAGCTATTTTACTGAATTTTTAATAAACCAGATGCAGTTATGCTCAGTTTTGTCCACAACAGAAATAACTTTATTCCCATGGAACTGCCAACCATAGCTGGCTTCCCCCTCAATGATGCTACATCTCCTTTGCTTTAGAGGACAGTTCTAGAAATTATGTTTTATGTTTTCCATTGTGTTGTCTCAGAAAGCTCAGTCGGGACACTCAGTATTGCTACTATGTACCTATATTTGCAACTAAAGTGTCAGTGTGTGTTTGAATTCTTCCCTTTCTCTGGTTTTCTTACTGTCTTCTTTTTAAAAAAAAAATTTTTTTTAACATTTAGTTATTTTTGAGACAGAGAGAGACAGAGCATGAACGGGGGGAGGGCCAGAGAGAGAGGGAGACACAGAATCCGAAGCAGGCTCCAGGCTCTGAGCTGTCAGCACAGAAACTGATGCGGGACTCCAACTCACGGAGCGCAAGATCATGACCTGAGCCAAAGTCGGACACTCAACCGACTGAGCCACCCAGGCGCCCCTTTACTGTCTTCTTTTATCAGCCCAACCCCCCAAACTCACACACCACAGGCATCCACAGGAACCATTGCTCCCTACGCCGTTCACATTTGCTCTTACCAAATTTGTTCCCAGGAATTTTGAAACCCCCATAGTACTTGGGACATAGAAACTCTTACTAAAGACACTGCTATAACAATTGTAACTTCTGTTTTATTTATTTTTTTTATTTTTTTTTTCAACGTTTATTTATTTTTGGGACAGAGAGAGACAGAGCATGAACGGGCGAGGGGCAGAGAGAGAGGGAGACACAGAATCGGAAACAGGCTCCAGGCAGCCCAGAGCCCGACGCGGGGCTCGAACCCACGGACCGCGAGATCGCGACCTGGCTGAAGTCGGACGCTTAACCGACTGCGCCACCCAGGCGCCCCATGTAACTTCTGTTTTATAGATAATTCATTTGCTCTCCGAAGAAAAATCTACCATGGATTGCTGAGTTAAAATATGGTCTTGATGTATCAGGTCTGTTAAAACCTTTCACAGATCTCTGACAAGGTGATGTAAGTGGAGCATGCTTATCAATGCAAGTTATTTGACCCTCAGAACTATACAGGCACAGATGTCATTCTTTTTGGACATTGTCTTAAATGAGGAATGTTTGTGGTCTGAAAGTGGAACAGAGCATATGGCATCATAATTATTAGTAAGAATTCATACTCGTTAGAACTTGGGCTTAATATAAAACCGTTTCTTTTCTTTTCCCAGTTTCGTTCCCATTGCATACTAATGGAGTCTGGTTTCATGGACGCATTTTTGGGAGTGTTGTTTGCTGTAAAAGAACCACCACAATCCACCACCAAACTCCACAGTGCCGAAGCCACGGCTGCTTCACATCGCGCTTCTAAAGTTTTGCATGGTCCCTGTTTTTCAGTTTTTTGGCCAAGAATGCATAAAATCTTTTAATTGGTGCCATTTTGTAGTAGCCTCCAGTCACCAGCAGCTGTTTGGAATCAGAAGGAGAAAATGAAAACACAAACCAGGGTTTTTAACTGTGGCAAAAGAATGTTCAAAGAACCCTCTCTATGATAAAACAGAATTTATTGCAACAAGTATTGCAGAGCTAATGAAATCAGGGAAGCCCCACAATGAAAGATGTTTCTCTCTGGTAAGACTGTGAGTTGATAACGTTAATAACACCTCATTAGAATTTGTTACCATAAGCCTTCACCATGTGGGTCTGCAATCAAATATGCATGATCTACATAGACCTGCAAAGTATTAAAGCTGCAGTAATATTACCCCAAGTTAGTAGTGGCCACTGATGCCTGAGAAATGCAAATACAAATGCTCTCTGATGAATACCGTTCTAAATATGGGTCTTTCAGGATTCCAATATATGAAGTTCACACAATTATTACCTCCCAATAAAATTCCACAGTACAGGAGGAAATAATCCACTACGAAAAAGAGATTGTGGAAACAAAGTTAATGGGATATAGGTTTTTCAACATATTAAGGGTTGGTTTTATCACAGAGAGTTTAAATTAACTATGATAAAATATTTTAAGAAATAAAATAGCAATACAAATTAAACTATCAAAATGATTATGCAGCTATAAGAAAACACTAAACAAAATTTAAAAAATTAAAATCACAGAAATAAAAAAATCAATAGATGGGCAAGCAACAAAAGAGTAAAACTGAACAACACTAAAAAACTGAACAGTTCTAAAAAAGAACCAAAGCAAGAGACAATGCGAAAGGAAAGAGGAAGAGAACACACATGTAGAAAATAAGATAAAATGGGAAATTCTAACATATGTGTAATAAAAGTTTGAGAATGAGAAAACAGAAAGAATAGGGGAGATCAGTTCTTTAAAGAAATTATGGATGAGAATTTCTAGAAATGATGAAATCCGTAACTTCCCAGGTTCAAGATACACAATATATTGCAGACATGATACATTTTTTTTTAAATTCCAGTTATAAAGCTGCAAATATCAAAATAAAGAAAATATCTTAATTTTCTTAATGTTTATTTGTTTTTGAGGGAGACAGAGTGCCAGTGAGGGAGGGCAGAGTGAGGGAGACACAGAATCGGAAGCAAGCTCCAGGCTCCAAGCTGTCAGCACGGACGGAGCCCAATGGAACTTGAGATCATGACCTGAGAGGAAGTGGAATGCTTAAGTGACTGAGCCAGGCAGGCGCCCTGAAGAAAATATCTTAAAAGCAAGAAAAGAGATGATGTGTAAAGAAATAACAATTGGAATGCCAGTCAAATTCAAGAGCAACAATAAAAACTCGAGGCTGTAGAATAATATACTGAAGCACTATGAGAAAATATCTGTGCAATTTGAATTGTGCGTGACAAAAATTCTTTAGGAGCAAAGCCAAAGTGAAGACATTTTATGTCTTTAATTAAAAGCTAAGACTTTACCACCAGTGGAACTTCACTACAAGAAAAGAATAAAAGAAAAAAAAATATATATATATGAAAAAGAATTAAAGAATAAAATTTGAGAAGAAAGAAAGCAATCCTGGTAGAAAGTTCTGAGGTTCAAGAAGGAATGTTGAGAAAGCATGATAGTAAATATAAACAAATTCTAATTGTATAAAACTAAAAAAAATGTGAATCATAGGATTAACAATATATGGGGCAACTTAAATACAAAATTAGCATATTACTTGAAGAGATGAGTAGACTGTTATATAGGATTCTAAGTTCCTTCTATTAATCAGAGGTCAAGTTTTTGATTATTTTTTATATCTTGTTAATTAAACATGAAAAATTTTGTGAGAAGTTACTAAAATAATAATAATGATAATAAAGCTTCTAAGCCAGTAGAAGTGGAAGCAAGAATAGGGAAAAATCAACCCAAAAGGAGCAAGAAATGAGGAAAAAAGAGAAAGGAGGCAAGGAAGGAGGAGGAGAAAGAGGATAAATATAAAGTATAAAATAAAATAGCAGAAATAAATCCAAATGTATCTGCAACTGTAGTAAAAAAAAGGATTAAATTCATCATCAAAATACAGATGATACTTGTTATGTTGAGAACTGGGAGTTATATATAAGTAATGAATCACTAGATTCTATTCCTGGAAACAATATTACACTATATGTTAGCAATCTAGAATTTGAATAAAAATTTGAAGAAGAAAAAATAATAAATAATAAAATAGTGAAAAAAACAGATTACTAGATCAGGAAAAAAAATTCAGTAAATGTCTTTTCCAAGAAAATACCTAAAGCATAAAGAAAGAGTAAGACTAAAAGTAAAAGGAAGCTAAAGATATACTTGCAAAATGCTAATCAGAAAAAAATTTTTAGGCACCTTAAGATCAGGTAAAACAGACTTTAAGACCCCTACCATTTCTAAGGAAAAGCAAGTCATTGAATAGTGATATAAATTTTATTTTAAAATTGCAAGTTACTGGACACAGACCTTACTCCCTCTATAAAAATTAACTCAAAATGGATCACAGATCTAAATGTAAAATGCAAAATGGTAAAACTGCTAGAATATAGCATGGGAGTAAATCTAGATGACCTTAGGCATGGTGACAACTTTTTAGGTATGATACGAAAGGCATAATCCATGAAAGAAAGAATTGATAAACTAAAATTAAAAATAGAACTACCCTACAACCCAGCAATAGCACTAACAGGAATTTATCCAAAGGATTCAGGAGTGCTGATTCATGGGGACACATGTACCCCAATGTTTATAGCAGTGCTTTCAACAACAGCCAAATTATGGAAAGAGCCTAAATGTCCATCAACTGATGAATGGATAAAGAAAAATGTGGTTTATATATACAATGGAATACTACTTGGCAATGAGAAAGAATGAAATCATGTCATTTGCAGCAACGTAGATGGAACTGTAAGGTATTATGCTAAGTGAAATAAGTCAGTCAGAGAAGGACAGATACCATATGTTTTCACTCATATATGGAACTTGAGAAACTTAACAGAAGACCATGGGGGAGGGGAAGGGGAAAATAGTTACAAATAGAGAGGGAGGGAGGCAAACCATGAGACTCTTAAACACAGAGAATAAACTGAGGGTTGATGGGAGATAGGGGGGATAGGGGAAACTGAGTGATGGGAATTGAGGAGGGTGCTTGTTAGGATGAGCCCTGGATATTGTATGTAAGCAATGAATCATGGGAATCTACTCCCAAAACCAAGAGCACACTGTATACACTGTATGTTAGCCAGTTTGACATTAAATTCTATTTAAAAAAATTTTTAAAATTTTGGTCTTTGAAATACTGTCGAAAGAATGAAAAGACAAACCACACACTGGAAGAAAATATTTACAAAAGACACATCTAATAAAGGACTATTCTCCAAAATATACCAAAAAACTCTTAAAACTCCAAAATAAGTAAACAAACAACACACACGCACAAAAATGGGCCAAAGGCCTTAGCATACACCTCACCAAAGAAATTATACAAGTAGCAAATAAGTATATGAAAAGATGCTCCACATCCTATGTCATCAGGGAAATACAACTTAAAACACCAGTGAGATGCCACTAAAAATGATTAGAATGACCAAAATCTGGAACATGAAGACGTCAAATCCTGGCAACAGGAACTCTCGTTTATTGCTGGTGAGAATGTAAAACAGCACAGCCACTGTACAAGACAATTTGGCAGTTACTTAGAAACCTAAACATACTCTTATTATATGGCCCACTAATCCACACTCCATGGCATTTTCCCCCCAAAAAGTTGAATATTTATGCCTTCACAAAAACATGCACAGGGGTGTTTATAGCAGCTTTATTCATAATAACCCAAAGTTGGAAACAACTAAGATATCCTTTGGTAGGTGAGTGGATAATTAAACTCTAAACAATAGAATATTATTCATCTGTCAAAAGAAATGGGCTACCAAGCCACAGAAAGACATGGAGGAAAATTAAATGCTTATTACCTAGTGAAGCGAGGTAATCAGAAAAGGCTGCATACCATATGATTCTAATAATCTGACATTCTGAAAATGGTAAAATTATTGAGACAGTAAAAAGATTGGTGGTTGGCAGAGGTTAGTGGGGAAGAAGGGATGAATAGGCAAAACAGGATATTTAGGGTAGCAAAACTACTCTGTGTGATAATGGATACATTAATACGTGTTTACATATAACTATATACATAAATTATGTATGTTTTATATATTTTATATATAAATATTATACCAAGTTTGTATATAAAATACAGTCCATTTTTTCTTATCTTAAAAAAGTAAATCTGGCTGTGATTATATTCGTTAAAAATTTTTCAGGAATTCTCCCATACATTTCGTTGAAGTTATAAACCCTTTTATTTTCATAAATGGGGTCTTTCTTAAAGTCCTTGGTTGAGATAAAAAATTGAATATTTTTCCACTTTCTTCAGCACACTATCTATGGGTTTTTTTTTTCCATTTTGAAAAATAGAAATACAGGACATACTAATGGAGAGGATTCATAAGGTTAGTTTATTTTTGGTTTAAACTGTTCAAGGAGTCACATGTAATTCTATACTTGCTCAAAAGATAAAACATTTTACCTCCCTAAAGAATTGGAAGCAATGCAAGATAAGTTTCCAATTCCCTCTTTGGATGCCGTAGTCTTGGCATATATAAAATGGAATTCTCTCTCTCTCTCACTCTCTCTCTCTCTCTCTTCCTCTCTCCTTCTCTTCCTAGCTTACTAATTTTTAAAAACTATCTTAACCATTTCTTTCTTTGTCTTATTTAACATTTAATATGGAAATTCTGATCTACATCCATTACTGTTTGATTCTCATAATTCTCGCCACATCTTCCTGGTCCGTATCTTTTGACATATAGACCAGTGATAGTTAATTGTTTAGAAAGTTGTAACTTATAAAATTCTAAAGAAAAATGTCCCTCTTGGGGCACCTGGGTGGGTCAGTCCATTAAACCTCCAACTTCAGCTCTGGTCATCACCTCTCTGCTTGTGAGTTCAAGCCCTGAGTAGGGCTTTGTGCTGACAGCTCAGAGCCTGGAGTCTGCTTCAAATTCTGTGTCTCCCTCCCTCTCTGCCCCTCACCCACTTGCACTCTGTCTCTCCCTGTCTTAAAAATAAATAAACATTAAAAAATATTTTTAAAAAAGAAAAATGCACCTCTTTCTTTCTAGAGATAAAAACAATGCTGACAGGCAATGTGTACTCTGTCTCTCACAGCTGAAAGAAATATCTTATCAGAATTTCTGAGATATTTAATGTCTGAACAAGACAATGTAACACTTAATATGTAGTCCCATGTCTCTCTTTGATTTATTCAGTTGTAAGCTCCCCAAAGACAAGAGCCATGTGCTCAACATTTGTTTGTTTCTAACATGAATAGTGTAGTGATAGAAACATAGATCCATGTGTTCATGAATTGGTTGATGGAAACCAGTGAAAACCAAGCATAGGAAAGTGTGGTTTAAAGAAATAGTCCCATTTAATGGTTCCTTAAAGTTCTGTTTATATATATGGTTTTAATTTTTCTGAATATTGCCATTCTGAATAAAATATGTATGAATTTAAATCATATATGTTTTTATTCATATTCTCCTTCCATAGGAACAGCTCCACTTTTTCCCTTTATTTCTTTGGGCTCTGCATAAGCAATAAACATCCTAAAATATTACCTAGGTTGGTACACACACATATTATTATAACATTGCATAATATAATAATATGGAATTATACTTTTATATTTAATACAATTATTAATATTATATCATAGTATAATATATAATATTATATGGTTACTGAATTTATAAAACAGTTCACACTTTACAAAATTATTTAATCAACTAGAATAGGTCTGTTTATAATTACGTATCAGGAGGTTATTAGTTTGCTAAATTAATAGCATAAGGAAAGTGACTACATCTTTCACTGCAACATAAAAGCAACCACCTACAGTCTTAGTCTTGAGTATGTATTCTTTTTCATTTTACTTTAAAAGTGTCATGTGAGTGTGTCTAGAATAGTATCAGAGCAACTGTCTTATTTGTTTCAGGTGAATGTAAGATACTCAAAGTATAAATACCACATTTTTAAAAAATTTATTCACTTATTTTGAGAGAAAGAAAGAGCACAAGCATGAGCAGGGGAGGGGCAGAGAGAGAGGGGCAGAGAGAAGCCCAAGCAGGCTCTGCACTGTCAGCTCAGAGCCCAACATGGGGCTCAAACCCCATGAACTGTGAGGTCATGCCCTGACCTGAAGTCAAGAGTCGGATGCTTAACCGACTGAGCCACTCAGGCACCCCACTACCACATTTTAAAATAAAACCTAGGAACATGCATGCCAAGTTCAATTACTCAAGTGCTAATTTCAATAAATTGAGATCTCCTCTCTTCAAATTAGAGCTCTTGATGGTTATTATAATATTAGAATAATTGAGAGTTGAAAAGGACCTGGTTGATGAAATTATAGTATAGTATTTATCAATAAGAAAACGCTTCACATCATTTGAAGATCAAATGGTTTACATCAAATGTAGATTTTAGGTAAGTGCATTTGAACTCTTCCATTTCAATTGAGTGCTGAAGATAGACAGTATTTACTACCTTTATGCCCAAAGTGTTATTTTTATACTAAGTCAAGAATTACAAGTGCAGTGCTAATGTTTTCTGAATCAAAATACGGGAAATGTGGTCTGAAAATTACCTGTATATCCATGACAAAAAGAAGGCAAAGTATCTGAAATGAGAGACATTATGTAAATTCAGCTTATGTAGTTACTGTAGTTCATGGCGTGGTTTTACTTATCAGAGCATGCATGCCATGTTTATAGTTTCAGTACTGCATTGAATAGGAATTACGTTTTGTCTACATTTGCATATCTACTATATTTTTTAGAAATCTGAAGTGTGTTCGATTCTCTGCTGTCTTTCTCCAAAAACAAAATGAAACAAAAATTCCCTGGATGCCAATGTATTTTTATTTTTCTTAATGTTTTATTTATTTTTGAGAAAGAGAAGGTGAGCAGGGAGGGGCAGAGAGAGAGGGGGACACAGAATATGAAGCAGGCTCCAGGTTCCAGTCTATCAGCACAAAGCCTGATGTGGGGCTCGAACTCACAAACTGTGAGATCACGACCTGAGCCAAAGTTGGACGCCTAACCGACTGAGCTACCCAGGCGCCCCTGGATGCTAACATATTTTAAGCCAAAAATAATATCTTGATTCATTCAAAATACAATTTTAAATTTTTTTTTCAACGTTTTTATTTATTTTTGGGACAGAGAGAGACAGAGCATGAACGGGGGAGGGGCAGAGAGAGAGGGAGACACAGAATCGGAAACAGGCTTCAGGCTCCGAGCCATCAGCCCAGAGCCTGACGCGGGGCTCGAACTCACGGACCGCGAGATCGTGACCTGGCTGAAGTCGGACGCTTAACCGACTGCGCCACCCAGGCGCCCCTCAAAATACAATTTTAAATCTTCATTGAATAAAGAGAGCACAGAACATAGAGGATATTGGCAGAAATTTGAAATGACCACTTGTTCATTTCAATGACATATATTGGAAAACCGGTGTTGGTCATTTGTATTACAGAACAAATCTCATTACTTCTTAAATGTATGATTTGGGGAAAATAATTTAAATTCTTTGTGATTTTCTCTATCTTTAAAATAGTCATAATTGGGGCGCCTGGGTGGCGCAGTCGGTTAAGCGTCCGACTTCAGCCAGGTCACGATCTCGCGGTCCGTGAGTTCGAGCCCCGCGTCGGGCTCTGGGCTGATGGCTCAGAGCCTGGAGCCTGTTTCCGATTCTGTGTCTCCCTCTCTCTCTGCCCCTCTCCCGTTCATGCTCTGTCTCTCTCTGTCTCAAAAAGAAATAACCCTTAAAAAAAAATAAATAAAATAGTCATAATTATTAAGACTATCTATAATGTGAAGAAAGGTGAGAGGCACTTCAAGATCTAAGGTAAGTCAAAATAGAAAATAAATATGGATTAAAAGAAGTTTGAAAACTCAGTTTGTGGCATCTAAAACATATTATTATTAAATCGCTACTATGTGTATATATCACAGTAAAATAAAGTTAAAAATAAAATCCAAGAATAGCTATTATTTATTCCTACTTGAGGTTTTTTGAAGCAACGCAGTTTTTCTTATTGTTTCACAATGCATGAAATTTGAGAACTTCTGTTATTTTCCTCATCAGAGAAGATTTTCAGTGATCTTGGTAAGTTTAACTACATCTGAAATAGCTGGTAGTCATGAAGTGCGATTAACACACAATGGCAGGGATTTGAAAACATGAAAGAGGAAGAATACAGAATAAGTCAGAGAGGAATGTGGGGATAAGAGTTAATAAAAAAGGATCAGAAACCACATTGGCCTTTCTTTACAGAATATTTGTTATGTGTGTACTGATAGTTTACTGACTATGAAAATTGGGAAAAATTAGAATACCTATTTTAAAGAATAGAATGAAGATCAATATGTAAGTGATGAATCATTAAATTCTATTCCTGAAACTAATATTACACTATATGTTATCTAACTATAATTTGAATAAAAACTTGAAACAAAAAAATTAAATTAAATAACAATAAAAAATAAAGAATTGAATGCAGATCAGTTAAAGTATAGCCATGTAAATTGTATAGCACAGTGCTTGGTA